GTGCAAATAACATGAATTTCCACATCACCATATAGTGCTTGTGTAAGCATTATTTTTATAAAAAATGGAGGGGTGAGATAAAAAATCCTCTGTAAAAATGTATATTACTATAAAATATCTATCAAACTAAAAAAATAATATTTAAAAAAATTTTCTATTTGGATTTAAAGGCATAGTATAAAAATTAAACTAATGCTTAAAAATATACTTTCATGATAAAAAATGACATAGTTCACAATCCAAATTGAGTCCATGGGGTGCTAAGGTGTTAAAATTAAAAATAAATTTCATTTCTTCAATTCCAATTATCTTTGTAAAGTCTCCTCCCCTCCAGTTTTTTTTAACTACTTTCAGTAGTAGTAGTGTGAGGTCTTTCGGATTTTGGTTATGGAAGTTCTTAAAATGTTGTGAGACGCTATGTGTCTCGATTCCTTTTTTAATGTTCCTCACATGTTCAGAGACTCTAGTGTGCAAACATCTAATTGTTCTCCCTACATATAATAAATCGCATGGACATTTTAATAAATAGATTCTATTTTTGGAGAAACAGGTAAGTTGGTCTCTTATTACAAAGTCTTTCTTAGTAAATTAATTTGTATTTTTTATGTTTCTTTTTTTACTGTTGGTTTCTCTGCTTGCTAAGCACCCTCCACATTCATAAAAACCTTTATTACTAGTCAGAAAATTACTATTTGTATTTAATGGGTCTTTATAGTTACTATTTACTAATATGCTTTTAATGTTCTTGCATCCTCTATGTATAATTTTTGGTTTTGAAGGTAATATATTTTTTAGAATGGGGTCATCTTGTAGAGACAGGTGCCAATACCTATGAATGGCATGTCGTACTTTTTTATTTTTAGCAGAGAAATTACAAATAAACGGGACTTCCATATTTTTTTCTTCCTTACTACTTTTCTTCTTGTATTTGAGTAATTTTTTTCTTTCCATCTTTTTTACTTCTTCTAAACTTGTTTGAAGATCTTCTTCTTTGTAGCGCTTCTCTATGAACTGCTCCTTAATTAATTGTGTCTGTCTAATAAAATCATTGTCTTGCGTGCAGTTCCTTTTCAACCTCATGAATTGGCTTTTGGGCACATTCATGAGCCACGGAGTGTGGTGGCAACTTGTGAGGTCTATATATCCATTGCAATCTACTTCTAAAATATATTTTTTTTTTTTTAATTGTATTTTATTGGTTTTACAGCGAGTGCTCAAAACACCATACACAGTCGCATGTACAAAGACAGTAAACATAAGAGAAGTGCAAGTCGCAGCTTGCTTACAGAACATAAGTGTGTACGTTTACATAGCCTAACATAACCATAAGGTTGTAGTTCCAATATCTTGCAAACATGATATGTCATATACCTGCAAGTGGTTGCAGAGTAGTCATGCATGGATCTGTGTAGAGCATAAACTGAAAGGGAGCAGTAACAAAAACGGGGATGGAACAGAGATGGGGAAAGGAAAAGGAAAAACGGAACAAAGGAACAAAGTACAATCCGCTGAATGGCATACATCACAAGATTGTTTATCTTATAGGGTTTTAGAGGTCAGTATTTGTACCCAGTATGTAAGCTCATGTGGCTTGTTGGTTTGTCAACTGGGTCCAATTACACCATGTTTCTCGAAACTTGAGGGCTTGGGAGGGGGAGCCCAGAGACATTTTTTCGTAAATGTAGTATTGTTGCAATTTATCTTGTAATTGTGACATAGACAGACATATTGTACTTTTCCAATTTGTTGCTATGAGGTTTCTGGCTGCTAGAGAGGTTAGCGCTACCATTTGGTGATAAGCTGATTTAACCGTGGTTTCGGGTAGCAGTAATATGCAGTTGGAAATGGATGGGGAGAAAGCTGAGAGCCCCAATTGCCTCAGAAGTGTTCTTACATCTTCCCACAGAGGTGTGATGCCGGTGCAGGACCACCAAACGTGCATCATCGTGCCCTCCTCCACCCCACATCTCCAGCACAGAGGAGATACTGTCGGATATATTTTATGTAGCTTAGTTGGGGTAAGGTACCAACGGTAAAGTAGTTTTTTGTGGGCTTCTATGTGGGAATAGCATTTTGTCCATTTAGACAGGCCGTTCAAGGCACCCAACCAGGCCTCATCCGATAGGTCCGTACCCAAGTCCCCCTCCCATTGTTTTTTGCACAGCGGCGGTACATCTGGCTGCATTGCTAGCCATGTTCTATAGCAAATGGAGAGGGCTTTAGGTTTGTTCGGTGTGTCCCTACATCTAAGCATGATCAGAGAGGACATTAATTGGTTATTCGTGCTGGTAGGAATTGGCGGGGGTAGAGCGTGGGAGGTCAGTATACTTCTGACTTGTAAGTATTTGAAAGTGTCCTGGACTGGCACGTTCCATTTCCTTCGTAATTCTGTAAATGTTATTACTCTATAACGGTCCTCCAGGAAGTGCTCAAGTCTGTCTAAGCCCACTCGTGTCCAGTGTGAAAGAGAAAGTGATTGAGTTATGGTTTTTAGTACCGTCAGGGGGGCCTTGGGATGCAGTTTATGCCTGTAGCCTATTTGGGCCATAAAGGTATCCCACATCATTATAGTCAGCCTAGTGGTAGGAAAAAATGGTGTGTGCGTGTAACGGAGGTGTTTTGGAGTCCACAGATAGTCCGTTATGGAACTGTCTTGAAATTGGTCTCTCTCCATATCCACCCATTGTGTGTGGCCTCGGGGTGAGTGTGCTGCTATACCTGTTGCTAGGGTGGCAGCTTTGAAGTAGAGGTGAATGTTGGGAAGGCCCACCCCCCCTCTGTCAGGTGTGTTTTGTAGTAGCTTAAGTGGTAGCCTCGCTTTTTTGCCCCCCCAAACAAATGTGTTACAGGAGGATTGTAGTGCCTTAAATAGTGCAGAGGGTATCGTGAGAGGGAGCATGCGAAACACATAGAGGAGTTTTGGAAGGGTCATCATCTTGAACGTGTTAAACTTACCTAGCCAGGATAGTTGGGTTGATTTCCAACCTGCTAATTCTTTCGTGCATATCTGCAATAGAGGTGTGTAGTTATGTTTTATAACTCCTGCTATTGTAGGAGATATTTTAACCCCTAGATACTGTAAGGTGCTATTCCTCCAATCGAATTGGTAAGAGGATTTTATGTCATCTAAAACGTCCTTAGGTATACCAACAGGTAGCGCCTGTGTTTTGTCTTGGTTTAATTTGTAATGGGAGACGTCCCCAAATTGTGTCAGCAGATCAAGAATATGGGGTAATGCTTGTCTTGGGTTTGAAAGGGATATTATGACATCGTCCGCAAAGAGGGAAAGTCGGTATTCTTTTCCCTTAACGGGTATACCTCGTATATGTTCGTAATCCCTACTCTTTTGGGCCAAGGGTTCCAGGGAGAGGATATACAGCAGGGGGGAGAGTGGGCAGCCCTGTCTAGTCCCATTAGTTATGTGAAACTTCGAGGAGAGGAAACCGCCGCAGGATACTTTGGCAGCTGGGGTAGTGTATAGTGCCATGATCTGGGATATGATGGAACGGAGGCTGGTGAGCTCGGGCCGTCGGCGCCATCTTGTCCCGCCATCTCCTGCATGGTGGCCGAAGTAAGGTGCATTTGAAGCGTTTTCTGCTTCAGCTTTTTGCAGGTTTTCGCCGCCATCCGCGCCTATGGTATAAGGCAAGTGTGTACCTGCAGTTTTAATTATTTTTGCGGTCAGGTGTACGCCGTGTCTGTGCTGTGAACACCGTACAGCGGAGGAGTTAGGCACTTACGCGTCCGTCCTCGTCTGCCGCTAGGACACGCACCCTTTCTAAAATAATTTTTGGTATGAATTTCCCCATTTTCTATAAAAATAGTTAGTTAAAAAAAAATGTATTTCCTTTTTACTCTGAGTGGAGGTGAGAGTTATTCCCCAATCATTGGAATTAAGAAAATTAAAAAAATCAGTGAGACCCAATTCGTCTCCTTTCCAAATAAAAAATATGTCATCAATGAAACGGCGGTAGGTGACCAAGTTCGCATGTGAAGCATGTTGAAGGATGAACCTTTCCTCCCAGTACGCCATGAACAAATTGGCGTAACTGGGTGCTATCTTGGTCCCCATCACCGTTCCATTGATTTGAATTAAAAAAAACTATCCTTAAACCAAAATAAATTGTTGGTAAGAATTAAAAATATGCCTTTAGTTATAAAATCAATCTATTCCTGTTAAAAATCAGATTTTGTTAAAAAATATTGCACTGCCTCGATCCCCTTATTGTGTGGGATGATACTGTAAAGTGAACTCATATCACATGTGATCAATATATAGTTGTCCTCCCATTTTATGTCTCCAAGAATTTGTAATACATGCATCGTGTCCTTAAGATACGAGGGATTTTTCGTTAGTATTGGTTGGAGTAGTACATCAATGTATTCAGATATTCTTGATGAGATGCTATCTACTCCCGAGATTATTGGTCTTCCAGGGGGATTTGTCAGATGTTTGTGCATTTTTGGCAGGCGATAAAATACCGTAATTTGGGGATTTAAAATATTTAAATACTTAGTATCTGTTAAAATATTTTTGTCTAATTTGATTCTAATTTCTTTGCTGGGGTTGGATTTTAGTTTTTTATATGTATTTGAGTCTGATAAGAGTCTCTCAGCCACACCTACATACTTTTCCTTTGATAGAACTACAACACCTACTCCTTTATCTGCTGGTTTAATTATAAGGTCATCTTTCTTCTGCAAATTTCTTAAAGCCTTTATTTCGACCTGCGAAAGATTCTTTTGGTATGTATTAGTATTTTTTATTTTACTGACTTACTTCATTATCATGGTCTCGAATGTCTTGATTTCACTCGAAACCATGTTCTTCGGGAAGAATTTAGATTTCTCTTTAAGATTGCTATGTACATATGGAGATATTGTATCTATTTGCCCTGACTTTTCCTTATCATAAAAAAACTTTTTTAGACATAATTGTCTGGTGAATGAAAAACTTTTTTAGACATAATTGAGGTCAATGAAAAAATCAAACTGCATACAATCTGAAGTTGGAGCGAACCTAAGTTCTTTTTGCAGTGTTTGCTCTGAAAGGTTAAAAATAGCTTTGTGATCTATCTCCGTCCTTGTTTCTCCCTGTTGTGGTCTCTTTCTTCTCCTATTTTTCCTTCTTTCCAGGATCTCCGACGTTTGCCTGGTGAGTCCCATTCTTGTGTTTGCTGAAGTTGTTTGAATCTGGTCTGGACCGGGCTTTTGTGAAAAAAAGACCAGGAAGAATTTGGGAGAGGTTTTACCGCTCTCTAGTATTTGGTAGCGATTCCTAATTGGGACGTTATAGTCCTTTTTCTCAGGCGATCTTTGTCCATTTGTAGGGGACCGGTGAGGAATATGTATGGGGTCTTTCTTTCTATGATCTCTTGTAGAATTGGTGACTACTTCACTGTAGCCCCTAATAATGCCCTCTTGCCTTTGGTTGGATGCATAGGTTGTCCTTCCTCCTACACTCTTGTAGGTTTGACTTGGGTCCATTCGATTTTCATATCTCCGGTGGTGATGTTTTTGTCGATTCTGAATACTTTCTTTTCTTTGATAATAGTGTTTTTGTGGGCTCAAAGTTCTTTCTCTAATTTGATTTATTTGACGACTATAGGTTCTTCCTCTAATGGGTGCATTGAACCTATTTTCTGATTTTTTTGTTTCTCATATTGCCTAAGTCTCTTAAATATTTCCGTTTTTTTGTTCCTATTACCTCTCTTTCTGTTTTATCTACTTTTCTTTTTATTTCCGTTATTATTTTGCTTTATATTTCTGGACTGGTTGTGTTACTTAAACCTTCCCTGCATTTTTTTATATCCTCGTCTAATTTAATGTGATTTTCTTCTCGTCTTGCCACTATATATCCCATTAAACCGAATGAAAACCCGTCTAATAATTTGTTCCATCCTTCCATAAAATATTGATCCTGCCAATCAAATGAAGGATCTTTTGAGAACCCCAAACCTCTTGGTGTTATCTTCTCTTTGACATATTTTTTAAGGGTAGCAATTTCCCACTTCGTTTTTATTTCTCTGATAAGCGTTTTCTCAAGTTTATTTTTATACATGTCTTTATTTACATATGTATTTTCAGTTATAATTCCTGCATCATTGGAAATCAGAATGTAATTGATCAGAACACAATAATCTAAGTTGGTGAAGTGAAATGAGAAAAAATATATACATAAAACTATTTTTTAAAATATAGAAAACAGAAAATTGGCAAGTGTGTTTGTATTCACCCCCTTTGTTATGACGCCCATAAAAAGCTCTGGTGCAACCAATTGCCTTCAGAAGTCACATAATTAGTGAAATGATGTCCCCCTGTGTGCAATATAAGTGTCACATGATCTGTCATTACATATACACACCTTTTTTGAAAGGCCCCAGAGGCTGCAACACCTAAGCAAGAGGCACCACTTACCAAACACTGTCATGAAGACCAAATAACTCTCCAAACAAGTAAGGGACAATGTTGTTGAGAAGTACAAGTCAGGGTTAGGTTATAAAATAAAAAATCAAAATCTTTGATGATTCCCAGGAGCACCATCAAATCTATCATAACCAAATGGAAAGAACATGGCACAACAGCAAACCTGCCAAGAGACGGCCGCCCACCAATACCCACGGACCGGGCAGGGAGGGCAGTAATCAGAGAGGCAGCACAGAGACCTAAGGTAACCCTGGAGGAGCTGCAGAGTCCCGCAGCAGAGATTGGAGTATCTGTACATAGGACGACAATAAGCCGTACACTCCATAGAGTTGGGCTTTATGGCAGAGTGGCCAGAAGAAAGCCATTACTTTCAGCAAAAAACAAAATAGCATGTTTTGAGTTTGCAAAAAGGCATGTGGGAGACTCACAAAATGTATGGAGGAAGGTGCCCTGGTCTGATGAGACTAAAATTGAACTTTTCAGCCATCAAAGAAAACGCTATGTCTGTCACAAACCCAACACATCACATCACTCAAAGAACACCATCCCCACAGTGAAACATGGTTGTGGCAGCATCATTCTGTGGGGATGTTTTTCAGCAGCCGGAACTAGGAAACTGGTCAGAGTTGAGGGAAAGATGGATGGTGCTAAATACAGGGATATTCTTGAGCAAAACCTGTACCACTCTGTGGGTGATTTGAGGCTAGGACAGAGGTTCACCTTCCAGCAGGACAATGATCCCAAACACACAGCTAAAGCAACACTTGAGTTGTTTAAGGGAGAGATGTAAATGTGTTGGAATGGCCTAGTCAAAGCCCAGACCTCAATCCAATAGAAAATCTGTGGTCAGACTTAATGATTGCTGTTCACAAGTGCAAACCATCCAACTTGAAGGAGCTGGAGCAGTTTTGCAAGGAGGAATGGGCAAAAATCCCAGTGGTAAGATGTGGAAAGCTCATAGAGACTTATACAAAGTGACTTGGAGCTGTGATTGCCGCAAAAGGTGGCAATACAAAGTATTGAGTTTAGGGGGGTAAATAGTTATGCACATTGACTTTTTCTGTTATTTTGTCCTATTTGTTGTTTGCTTCACAATAAAAAAAATTAAATCTTCAAAGTTGTGGGCATGTTAAATTAAATGATGCAAATCCTCAAACAATCCATGTTAATTCCAGGTTGTGAGGCAACAAAACATGAAAAATGCCAAGGGGGGTGAATACTTTTGCAAGGCACTGTATATCTAAATAGAGTGGTGTTTTTTTTGGGGGGGGTTTGGTGGGGGTATTTTACTATAAATATAAAATACACAATGTTGAATAACTTAATTTTGAGCTACTAAACTTAAAATGTAACTCTATAGTTAATAATTCATGTTATAATTCATGTTACAGATTGTATAACGTGTCTATTCTTCAATGTTAAATAAAGAATTATAAAGGACGGAGGCTTGGGGTGCCCAGAAGTTTTACAATGCAGATTATATGATGCTTACACAAAGCAAGGTGGCTACTCAAGAAATATGGTATAAAATGGAAAAAGCTAAAACTCGGGTCGGAAACTTATCCTCATTATTTTGGATTGTTGAGGCAAATAAAAAATGTATGAGAGAGGCACAAATCTCAGATCCTTAAAGAGCTAACGAGATGGAGGGAAAAACTCACAAATCAGAAAGGTCTTAGAAACAAAATAATTGACACACTCTTATTCGCAAGCATCTAAGATACGTTAGAAAATATAAAAACAGACTTATGGATGTCAAATAGGGTAAAGGAATTTAAAGATATAATGGAAGAATGCAACCTTAAACCTTTCAACCAAATTATGAAGGATGTTAATATCCCCCCCCAGTGAAACGTTCAACTATCTGCAAATTAAAAGCCTTTTAGCAGAACACCTCTTTAAAAACAAAGATGAGGATAGCAAAAATCTTATACAATTATTTGAATTAAAGAATCATAAAAACTTAATGGCAAAATGTGCAAAAGTGTATATGGATGGAGACATGACAAACCAATAGCATTGATTAACAAATGGAAAAAAGAACTACAAGTATCGATGGAAGAAGAACAATGGATAGGTTCCCTAAATAAACTAAATAAAAATATACACTGTCTAAATCTACTAGAAACCCAGTTTAAACTATCAAATAGATGGTACTTAACACCTAAACGCCTAAAGAGAATATTCCCAGAACTACCAGACAGATGCTGGAAATGCAATACTGCTGAAGACAATATGATCCACACTTGGTGGCAGTGCACACCCATAAATATATTTTGGAAAGAAGTAATCAAGATAATATATCAAATAACAGAAATAAAACAGCCTTGTAAGCCTGAAGTGGTTTTATTAAACTTGCACTTGCCAGAAATGACACAAAAAACATCAATGGTGTCATTACATATAATGACGGCAGCCAAATGACTCCTTGCAAGAAACTAGAAAATAGAGACAATTGCAAATATCAACAAATTGATAAAACAAGTAACATGGCAAGTAAGAATGGAAAGAGGTATACTAGTAAACTTGTGAAACAGATATAAACAAATAGAGGACTGGGACACATGGATGAATAGACTGGATGATTTACTAGGCCGTCGGTGTTCCACATAAAGACCTGACTCTTCTCTTTCAGATAAAGAAAAAAAAAAAGAAAGTGGGCAATACAACCCTGAACTGACAGGCACATAGAATATCAAAATATAGAAATGAAACAAGATATAATAGGCTCTCGTACTCTCCGGGAACTAAACGTGTGGGTTGGATAGACAAGAAACCAATAGTAAGAAATTCACAGAAATAGGGGGGGAGGGGGCTGGGTGGGAGGGATGGGTATATTAACAAATCAGCAATATATTGATGATAACATTGGACCAAAGCCCATTTCACACAAGTAATACAAACGTATGCAGGGCAGGTACAAGTCTGAAAAAAAATAAAATAAATAAATAATAGGTCAGGATGGTGCAGTAGACATTGCTTAGCTTGATTTCAGTAAGGCTTTTGACACTGTTGCACATAGAAGGCTTATTAAAAATTAAATAAGGTAGGCACACTCAATATCAAATATACGCAAGCTCCCAAGTGGAGCTCTATGAAGATATGATATGGGGTGCTCACTCACATAAGGCTTTATCCCCAAAAGCCCAAATACGTGTAAATAACAATAGAGTAAGGAGCACAACCATCAATAATAATAAAACAATCTTTATTAAGTGGGTACACTCTATAAGAATATCACATAACATAAGGATTCCAAATATAGGATCATATCACGCTATACAGCAATGATCAGAAAAATTCTGAATATATATGTATGAACGCCAAATGCGTCTTATATGAATTACAGAGTCTCGATATACAAAAATAGAGAAATAAAATACCAGTCTAATCCAATCCCACAAACACAGATATAAATATACAAAAATATATAGCAATAAGCATACCAGACCTAGTGAGAAGCAGGGACAGAGTCAGTCACCAAAACACCCCCAACATTTCAGAAAAGATGCCTTTATCAAGGGAGCATTTGCACATAGAAGGCTTATCAATAAACTGCAATTTTTAAGTTTGGATTCCAATATTGTTGAATGGGTAAGGCAGTGACTGAGTGACCGGCAACAGAGGGTTGTAGTCAATGGAATATATTCGAAACTTGGACTTGTCACCTTTTGGGGTACCTCAGGAATCTGTACTTGGACCCATTCCTTATAATATTTTTATTAGTGATATTGCAGAAGATCTTGATGGTACGGTATGTCTTTTTGCTGATGATACTAAGATATGTAACACGGTTGATTTTCCAGGAGGGACAAGTCAAATGGCAAATGATTTAAGAAAACTAGAAAAATGGTGAGAGTTGTGGCAACTGACATTTAATGTGGATAAATGCAAGATAATGCATCTTGGATGTAAAAACCCAAGGGCAGAGTACAGAATATTTGATAGTCCTAACCTCAACATCTGAGGAAAGGGGTTTAGGGGTAATTATTTCTGATGACTTAAAGGTAGGCAGACAATGTAATAGAGCAGCAGGAAATGCTAGCAGAATGCTTGGTTGT